TGATTCCTCCAATTCAGACATGCTTCACACCAGGCAGTCCTCCTCGCTATTCGTGCACGACATGTCGGTCTCCGAGAGTCTTGGAGCATCCTTCAATGAGTTGATCAGCATGCCTACTCCGCCTCATATGCATTCTCGCGGTCCATCTCAGATGAGCCAAGTCAGTGACTACTCGAGGCTCCCTCGTCATCAGCCTCGTCGATCCTCACGCAGACATACTAGCAGCTTCACAGGCAAGACTAGCTCCAGCTGAGACCCGCACCGCTTCAAATGACACTTCCCCGCCACAGAGGGTCACTCGGTTCAGAGCTCGTGGTCGAGATGATGATGGTGCCTGGTTCCACTTGCCCCACATTCTTGAGCCTTTGGCTCGTCTGGCTGCAGCCTCGCCGTCAAACCCCTAGGTTTTGGTGTTTGATGCCAAAGGGGAGAGGTGTTCGAGTATGTAGTCTCGTGGGGAGCTACATTTAGGGGGAGCTAGTTATCTAGTATTAGCCTATTATATACATTTGGAGTTCTATTTGTGTGATACACTATTACTTACTTATGCATTCGTGTGTTTACTTTCCTGCATACTATTATATATATGTAATAGTGCTATCTACGTGATTGTGATATTTGACATGTGTGATTTCTACTTTGCATTATCTATATGTCATATCACTTGTGTTATGCTCATTTGCTTTTGCTTCCGCGTTTATACTTCAAAGCAAATGAGCTTTGTTACTTGTACTCATGCTTTATTCATATCCTTTGAGTACATTGTGTTGGCTTGGGTCATATAAGCTTGCCTAACTCTTTTGTTCTTAACGACAAAAGCTTATATGAACCAAGCCCGTCAAAAACCTCATTCCATAACATACTCGAGGTGGTATTATCATCAATCACCAAAAAAGGGGAGATTGAAAGCATCTAGGCCCCTAAGTGGATTTTGGTGATTAATGTCAATACAAGATTACTATGACTAACGTGTGTTTTGCAGAGGCAATTAAGTTAGGTCATGGTAATGGAGATCGATTGGGCAATTGAGGTTGTCATGCCCCCACGATGGAAATCGTTTCGGTTTTCAAAGGATGGACGACAAGGTTAAGGATAACTAGTTCTAAGTGTCAATTGAAGTTGGAGAGACACTTAGAGTAGTTTAGAACTTTGTTTTTCCTTTGGCCGTACTATGAAAGGGGGTATGAACGGGTAGCTTGACCTAGTTGAGTCTAGTGAGTTAGGTGTGGTGCACACTTGTTAAAACTAGCTCTAGGTAGCTCCTATGAATGCCTAAGATCCTTTGGAGCGACTTCATTCTCATATGATCGAGAGTTGGAAGTGAATAGAGGGTCAAATACTAACCGGACGCTGGCTCCGGTGCGACCGGACGCTGGCCGCAGGGTCCGGTCAGTTCATTTGACTGAGGAGAACATGTCTAGAGTGACCGGACGGTGGAAGGTCGTGTGACCGGACGCTGGGGACCAGCGTCCGGTCGACTCCAGTAAGGGTCCAGACTTGAGAAAGTGTGACCGGACGCGTCCGGTCAGTGGTGACCGGACCCTGAGTATCCAGCGTCCGGTCGATTACACTAAGCATCCAAGAGCGACCGGACGCGTCCGGTCAGTGCTGACCGGACCCTATCAGCGTCCGGTCATCACTTGGAAACTGTTGCACGGGTTGAACTGACCGGAGCGTCCGGTCAATATGATCGGAGCGTCCGGTCATCCCGCAGAAGCTCATAACGGTTTGTTTTTCAGGCTGCCTTATAAATAGAAGCTCCAATCGAGTGTGGAGTGACTTTTGCTCATTCCAACAGTTGAGAAATACGTTTATGAGTGCCAAGAAGAGCAAGATCCTAGTGAGGTGTTTGTGATTTGAGAATCCAAGAGTGAAACCTCATTAGTGAATCAAGAGTAGACAAGTGTGCATCCATCTTCTCATTAGGCTTCGCGTGGTCAAGTGAGATTTCGTGCTTGTTACTCTTGGTGATCGCCATCACCTAGACGGCTTGGTGGTGGTTGGGAGCTTGGTGATCACCCGGCGAAGCTTGTGGGTGACCCAACTCAAGTTGTGAGCGGTTTTGGGTGATTCGCCACGACGGAGTGTCGAAGAATCAACCCGTAGAGAGCACTTGATCCTTGCGCGGATCAAGGGGGAGCTACACCCTTGCGCGGGTGCTCCAATGAGGACTAGTGGAGAGTGGCGACTCTCCGATACCTCGGCAAAACATCGCCGCGTTCCTCTCTCCATTTACTTTGAGCATTTACTTTAAGTATTTACTTTGAGCAATTCAATACTCATCTTTACATTCATAGAATTGCTATGCTAGAGTAAGTTTGGAACATAGGTTGCAAGTCTTTTGTGCGTTGATTTGATAGAAACACTTTGTCTAGGCACAAGGGGTTAATTGGGCTATCCGTAGGATTTGATTATTGCAAGAAAATTTAGAATTAGCCCAATTCACCCCCCCCCTCTTGTGCATCTTGATCCTTTCATTAGATTTAGTGCGTCTAAACAGGAGAGCTAATAGGTGTATTAATTTTTTAGACAAGTCTTAAAATAGTTGTTAGCTAACTAGCTAGCCAGACTTGACTAATTTGAGCTAATTTTTAGTCCAACTAGTAACTAGCTCTAGCTCATCCAAACAAACCCTAAATATAACTGAAAATTGTGATTGTTTGGTTCACATTAGTAATGGAAAGAGAAACATTGGTCGCCGATCGCCGCACTCCTCTTCTCGCTGATGGCTCCTCCCTCTGGTTCCCTTCTTGCTACTGAGAAAGATCTCTGCCTTGTGCTGCCCACTCGCGTCTCCTAAAGCTATTGGACGCCCGCTCCCTGCTGGCAAAGAGCCCTAGGCCCTAGCCAGTCGAGCTCCAAGTTCGATTACCACTGTTATGGATATTGTGGTACTTTTTTCTCGAATACATAAAAGGATTACGTATCATTGTATTAGATAGAAAGAGTTTTGCAATGATACAGTGAGCTCTAACTACGCCTGCGTCGCCAAGCACTCCAGGTCACGCGCCCTGGCCTGAATCCAAATCTCCATCGGGATATTGTGGTACTTGTGTCCAAACCCCAATTCAAGCACATCATCTCTCGTACCAAATTTATGGCCGTTCAAATTGTCTCTCTCTCTCTCTCGCCAAATCTGGCTTCTCGCCAGATAATCGATCTTTTTCCATGCCACATCTAGCTTGTCTCCAATCCAAACAACTTTCTCTCAAGCCAAGCTAGCTTTCTCCTTACCCGAGTATAATCAATCTTGTTGCGGCTCAAATCGGTCTAGTGGTCATCCGGTTCTACATGGCTGCTACTGGATGGACCACTTCCATGGATGGCAGGGCAGATTGAAAAATGAAGAGAGAGAGAGAAGGGCATGTTTGAAAGGCTGGTTTTTCAAGCCAAAATTAGTGTAAAATACAGGCTTGAAAACTTTTACATACCCAATCTTTGAGTGCCCTTCCCACTTATCTTAGTGTGACCATAAGTCTTCCCATCTATCCTAGTATGACCATAAGTTTTAGATTGTGTTTGGTTCAGTATCTGGAAAGTGCTTCGGTGCCAAAAAAGTAGAAGGTGAACCAAATGGGTAGAACCAGAAACTACTTTTCTAGAAGTAACTACTTTCATGCAGTATAATTTTTGTAGCACCTTGGACTCTACATTTGGCTTTCACCTTTCCAAGTAAGTGCAAATAGAGAGACATTTTACAACTGTTTCAAGAAAGACATGGAGATGAGGGTAGGTTTTATAGTTATTTTAACCAAACAACCTACAACTTTTTTTCACAGCACATAACTCACAACAACTTTTTCAAAGCTCACAGCCCACAACAGTTTTTTCAAAGTTTACAGCTAAAGCGCTGAACCAAACAGACCCTATTGTAGTGCTCATCTTATAGGTTGCATAAATCTTGGTAGATTTACTTAGCATGCTAATTTAGTTTCTCAGTGTGCCCCTTGTCAAGGACATAATAATTAGTATGATGGGCCTAAGGACTTTCTAGTGTGATCCTTTTAGTCTTAGGTGCCTTGGTGTAAGTGGGTGAAATAGTTTTGCGTAGGCTAAGGTGGGTACCTAATGATGTTTTTTGGGGTCCTTTCAAGTAGCAACAATGCAACACACATTCTATTAAACATTTAGGGAGATCAGTGAGGATGTAGGTGGGTACCCAATGATGTTTTTTGGGGTTAACTAACTAATTATGGTCAAATGCCATTATAGTTCATTTCTCCCCTCCACATGAAATGCATTCTAGTTCATTTGAGCACAAGTTTTTGGATCGACCTAATTAGATTGAGGAAAAGATTATAGCTTGCTTGGAAGGGGAGAACATGACATCAGGGGGTACATTCATCTTAACAAACACATCTTTAAGTGCCCTTCTGTCATGGTCCCAATGAAGGCCCTCCCCAGCGGGCCAAACGGGTCGACAAGAGCCCAAGGCGGGGTGGCGACCCCGACCGAGGGCGCCCTAGCGTGCCGGCACCAAGCGCGACCACCTCCTCCACATTATCCCGAGTTTTAGGCAATTTAGGAAAATATAGATATTTAGGAAAAATAGATAAAGATTTTATTTAGGAAAAGGAACTTAGAATTTGTTAGGAAAAGAGAGAGTTTGTTTTAGAAAAGGAGAATCCAAACCTATAAGGACTTCTTGCTAGATTGCTTGGTGTGCAAGACCATTAGGGCGTATAAATATAGGGGGCATTGTAACTATTCCAACTCAAAAAGAAAATGGAGCCTTGCTCTTTAAACTCCCTCCCTCTCTCTAGCGCCGACGCCCCTTCCCTACTCCTGTGCCGCACGCCGCTACCGCTGCCCACGTCGCGCCCCTGCCCCACGCCCACCGCCACCACCCTAGACCCCCCCCCAACCAATCCGCCAGGAAAGGATCATCACACCTGGTATCCGGAGACCATATCGATCCTATGGCCTCCACCACCACCACCTGATCGCTGAGATGAAGAGAATGCTAAGCATCTTCTCTGTCAATATGGGCAACCGCTGAGATGAAGAGGATCGCTGAGACAGTTGAGAGGGTAAGATATCCAATTTTAGAGTTTGAGGTAAGAAACTTTTTCTAATGAACATTGATACACCCTCCAATCTAACGATGCATGGGTGATCGCCTCTGGATCATTGGTCGAATTAATCTCAAGCGAGTTGCAACCAGAATATGCAAGTGCATGTGCGTGTATGTACGCTCTCTCGATTAACCACCGCGAATTACTGGCACAGTAGTAGCCCATTTGCTATTTGTTTTTCTTGTTCAACTCCTTCAACTGTACAGGAAGTTACACTGTTACAGGATATGCCAAGTGATGATATAGTAAACTGTAAAAGTCTGCTAGTAGATCTTTGCTCATAAAGTAGTCGACGCGAGTCTCGCTGAACTACTAAAATTCAGGGAGCAGACTAATGTTAGAGCGCCATGTGTAATGTACAAGTGCAGCACATGTCATCAACTCATCATCGCCTATTCCTATTCTCCCAAGCTAAATAAAATAGCAGTCGGTCAACAATCTCGGACCTTCTAATGTTAAACTACAAACTGCCGCGGCAGAAAGTAATTCGTCGAAAAAGTGAACAGAATGATAGATCGATCCATCTGCATGTGCAAACATCTCATCTCATCTCCACATTGTGTGTACAAGTCGTCATTGACCAGCTCACACAGTACTCATATTAGCCTTCTGTGCCCAGTACTTATATTAGAGAAACAACTGAACAAACAATAAACCCGTAAGATAAATGATGCCGACCGTGTAGGTGCATTGTGCCATAAGCTATTCGGCTTATGGTTTTTGCGACTAATAAACTGGTTGATGTTGTTTTGTTGTGCATGAAAAATACTGTAGCATGGCTGATAAGCCGGGCTGATAAGTTCAGACGAACAGGGGCTGTAATCCCCGTTGTCAACGTACAGTAACTGCCACTAAGAGGGGTTCTGCATTAGAAGATCGAGTGATGGATCAATTCATCAGCGTTGGTATTCCCGCTCTGTTTCAATAACTTCAGAACAACTTGCTAAACCGTTGAGACTTGAGAGCACATGTGGACGGTCAGTTCGTCAGAGAGACATCACTACTACATCAGTGCAGGCAGGCCACACGGAGTAGTTCATCGCTCGTCTGCCTCGGGATATCTTTCTCCGATTCCGATCCTCCTCTCCAGTTAATCCCTCTGTCCATCGCTACACATATCGTGCACTGCTGTAGCTACTACATTCCGACATGAAACGGAGCGCAGCCAACTCGATCGTACAACTGGTGAGCCATATTCTTTTCTATACTACCGCCCAATCCAATCTTGCCTCAACTTTGTTCGTTCTGGAACTGATGGTACTCCATGCTCTGCGTTTCCCTAGCTGGTTAAATCTGCGCGCAAAGCCGCCGCCGGTGCTCGGTCGCGCCGGGTCGTCGGGGTGAAGGGAATTGGGATCAAGGCGGCGGCGAACGTGTTGCCGCGGCTGCGGATCCTCGCCGTCCTCGGCGTGGTGGCGTGGACCTTCTTCCTCTACGTACATTTCACCGTGATCAGCAGCACGGTGGAAGTGAGCAACGGGGACGGTCTCGCGGCCGACCCGTGCCGGGGACGGTACATATACATGCACGACCTGCCGCCTCGTTTCAACGCCGACATCATCCGCGACTGCCGCAAGACCGAGGACCACTGGGGCGACATGTGCGGCTTCGTGAGCAACGCCGGCCTCGGGCGTCCCCTCGCCGACGACGACGACGGCGTCATCACGGGCGAGGCTGGGTGGTACGGTACGCACCAGTTCGCGCTGGACGCCATCTTCCACAACCGGATGAAGCAGTACGAGTGCCTGACCAACCACTCCGCCGTGGCGTCCGCCGTGTTCGTCCCGTTCTACGCCGGCTTCGACTTCTCCCGCTACCACTGGGGCTACGACAACGCCACCAGGGACGCCGCGTCGGTGGACCTGATAGAGTGGCTCATGGCACGGCCCCAGTGGCGGCGCAAGTGGGGCCACGACCACTTCCTCGTCGCGGGGAGAACGGGTTGGGACTTCCGGAGGAGCAGCAACGTGAACCCAGACTGGGGCACCGACCTCCTCGCCATGGCGGGCGGCCGGAACATGACCGTGCTCGTGCTGGAGTCCACGCTGAAATACACCAGCGACTTCTCCGTGCCGTACCCGACCTACTTCCACCCGAGGTCGGACGCCGACGTGCTCCACTGGCAGGACCGGGTGCGCGGCCAGAACCGGACGTGTCTCATGGCGTTCGTGGGGGCGCCGCGGCCGGACGTTCCGATGAGCATCCGGATCCGGGATCACGTCATCGCGCAGTGCAAGGCGTCCAGCGCCTGCGCAATGCTGGGGTGCGCTCGCACCCTCGGCAGCCCGCAGTGCCACTCCCCCGCCAACATCATGCGGCTGTTCCAGAAGGCCACCTACTGCCTGCAGCCGCCGGGCGACTCCCCCACGCGACGGTCGGTGTTCGACTCGATGGTCGCCGGCTGCATCCCGGTGTTCTTCCACACGGGGACGGCGTACGAGCAGTACCCGTGGCATCTCCCCATTGACGGCCACCTCAAGTACTCGGTGTTCATCCCGGACGCCGACGTGAGGCGGCGCAACGTGAGCATCGAGGCCGTGCTCCGGAAGATCCCTCCGGCCACGGTGGAGCGGATGCGGGAGGAGGTGATCAGGCTCATCCCAACTTTGTTGTACGCCGACCCCAGGTCGAAGCTGGAGACTCTGAAAGACGCGGTCGCCGTCGCCGTCGATGGGATCCTCGACACGGTGGCGGGGACCACGAATCCGCCGAGCCTTTTCGACGCCATTGTATCAAGGTTCCTGCCGAAGGGATCTTGGAAAGCAGCTCGCTAGCTCTGTTTCATTCCGCCCCAATGCAGCCCACGCAGCTGACACCAGCTGATGGCCGGGACCGTGGCGCTGATGGCTGCTGCTGTTGCACGGAGGGGCGATCGGTATTTGAAACGCCGACCACCTGGACTCAGCTCCGGCCGGCCACAGCGAACAAGTGTTGCGCCGAGCCTCTCGCCGACGCGGGCGCAGAGACAACGTGTGCAACGTAACCTGATCGTAGGGAACGCGATGCCGCTGGCAGCATGCTGTGGGGGACAGGGGGCAGGCTCGAGGAGCACCCCGTGAGCTCTGCGCTTGCGCCTGCCGCTACAAGAATGACCTGCAACGCTGCGTCAGCTCCATCCACAGATGCCAAGAAGGCTTTCGGCGCCTGTTCGCCGTGCCCCTGCACAAGAGTTCAGTGAGCTTGCTCTCGCGCGTGCCAGTACTCGGTAAGATGGAGCCATGGAGGCCAAGAAGAATCGAGGCTGGATTGCGCTAACCATGTAGAAGAATCTTCACAATCTGATGACCTTGTGCCTCAGACTTCGTCTGACAAACTATCAGTCTGGGAATCGGCATCCTCAAGGAGAGACAAGCGCGCAAAGCCCGCTTCATTGATGGCGGCTCGCATGACCTTCAGGCTATTCTGCTGCAGCAACACTACACTACACCTTCACAGATTCCACCTGGCATTTAGCATCTTCCTCCTCTTCATCTTCTCCACAGGACTGCGTTGTAACTACAGATGATTTTTTTAAGAGACTTATTACAGATGATTTCATAAAATCCTCTAGTAAAATAATTGAAGTGGCTCCAATAATCAGCCTGTTCGTTTGACTGTCGCTTGTCGTAAACGATCGTAAATTTTCAGCCGGAACAATATTTTTCTCTCACACAAACCAGCCAGCGGTACTTCTTCATGAACCAGCAACGATACGAACCAGCCAACCGAACAGGCTGCTAATAAGTGCCTCATTTGCTGCTTCCAACTTTGATTAGTGTGACCGTTGGGCTCAATCCGGTGCTCTCCTGTCCGTCAGCCACGTGGGAGTCGCAGCTTGGGCGCCGGCTGCGCTCATCGGAGGGTGGACTATGGCCATGTTTTGTTCAGCTTACGGGAGTCTCGCTTATAAGTTGAGCAGAATTATATAATAAGCTACGATGTAGAAATCTGCTGTCTAAATAAGCGGGGCGTTTGGATGTCCTGATTATTTCGGATATGATGTTTTACACTGGAAACCCTGAACTTTTTCCAAACTACGTAGCACTATTTACTACTATTTCTATGAGACTATAGCCTTGCAACTGGACCTAAATAAGAGTTTCTATTTGCATCCTGGTCCTTCTTCTTCAATTGACGCACGAGCTCGGAGGGAGCCGGCGGTGGGGGGAGAGCCGGCGGTGAGGGAGTGACCTGGTCGTGGAGGCCGCCGGCCGGAGGCTAGATCCGGCAGGGACCTGCTCCCCGCCGGCGGATCTAGTCCAGGGCCGGGCTAGAGGGAGGCGATGACGGTCATGGAGGCGGGAGCCATACCGGAGGGAGGCGCTGACGGATGGAGCAGTGCCGGGGAGGGAGGCGGCGCCGAGGATGGAGACCGCGCCGGGGAGGGAAGCCACGCCGGAGATGGTGGCAGCGCTGGGGAGGGAGGCCGCGCCAGAGATGGTGCCCGTGCTGGGGAGGGAGGCGGCGCCAGGGATGGCGAACGCGAACCCGCGTTCTCCAAATCGCACGCCTTGGCTCGCGTTTTGGCCGTAGGCTATTTTCCGCGTATAAGCGGACGCGCGATGGCTGGTTGCGAGCGCGACGCAACCCGTTTGGCGAGATTTTCAGCTCATCTCGGGCGCGAACGCGAGAAAGAGCGGAACCAAACAGGGCCTACGATGGCACGGCTAATTTCGCATCTGGCAGTCAGATTCGTGTGGCTGATGGTCGGACTCGGGCCTGCTCAGTGGCGGATTTGAAGGCCCAACGGTCGGTTCTGAAGGTCCAGCAGCCGGAGCTGTGTGGGAGCAACCTGTGATGCGCGTGGCTTGAGATGCCATGGCGGCAGTTTGGTGGCATGCGCTACTGGGTTGTCGTCCTGGTGGAGTGAGCGGCTGGGTTGAAGCACTGGTGGCGCTGAGGTGGCAGTTCAGGTTACGCCGGCCACAGCGTGGGTGCCCAGAAAAAAGCATTGGCCACGTTGGAAACGGGGCATCACCCCAGCTGAGAAGAAAACAAGCACCGCAGCCAACTGTGCCCTCCAAATAAAATAATCACTACATCCTCCTCTCTCTCTCAAACTTGCAGAGATGAAGTCCACTGCAGCGACCAAGGTGCTGACAGTCGTACCAACAAAACAATTTTCTATTGTGCAAGCACCGGAGCAGCTACTTTCATCGCTCCTCGTTTTCTTGGCTTCGCTAAAAGTTGGCATTAGCGCTTGCAGTGCTCCGATGGGGATGGATATATATGCACTCCTTGTGGCATCATCGGTGTACGTGTATGCACGAGGGATATATGTGTGCTCCTTGTAGCATTTTTTGAATATATAAAGAGATTAAACATGATTTATTATAGATTTTTTTGACAAGATTTATTATAGATTTTAAAGTCAATATCAAAGCTGATAATTTTTTAAGTTAACATCAAAATTAATAAGTTTTTGTCAACACTTGATGTGTTGGCCCCTATATCCTAATCCTGGCTCCACCCCCGTGGGCAGCCACAACAAGACGAGGACAACCGCATAGATTGGGCAAGACGAGAACATCTTTACAGATATGTGGCGTTCATGCATGCGGCGGTGCGTGAGATCGGCAGCATGAGCTAGGCAGGGCTCGTCGCGTTGGTGAGTGGACCTCCACGACAGGCATCATGGCCGGCGAGGTCTGCCTGATCTATGCGTCGACGATCTAAGACGGCCATGAAGAGTGGCCGCAACCTCACAACGACGGGAAGAATGACGTCGCCCAAGGACCAGGGCGCTTCATGGGTTGCTCCCCACGCAGGCACCATCTACCTGGCGCCGCCGCTCATGGCCATCTTGTGATGCGACCGCAGCAGAAGGAGATGGCCGATTTTTTTTTCTTTGATTTGATGCGTCACTCGTACCACGCCGGGCTTGTCGGGTTTCACGGGTTGAACCCGAGAACCAGCTAATCTAGCTACGGCTTTGTAAAGCCCACGTCTCTGTCGATCCAACCCGCGTTGGTACCCATGTTGACAGTTTTGATTGGGCTGGTTCCGGCCGGTTGACGATTTGTTGACCCAATGAACATGGCTATAAATATACACAGCACACCACCATGAACACACTGCATCAACCTAAGCCGAGAAAAACCCCAAATGCCATAATGGAAGTTGGCTCTACCGCGACGATGGCCCTAGCCCTCGCCCTCCTTTTCAGAACTGCCATGGCCATGACAGAGGCCCTAGTCCTCGTCCTCCTTTTCAGCACGACGCAGTCGCGGGCACCACCAGGGGCTCGTCTGCCGACGAGGCCAGAACATACCCATCGAGGCGAGGAGGAAGAGACAGATAGATGGAGCGTGCATGAGACCGTGGCCTGGGCGCCCCCCCTATAATCCCTTAATTATAGCATTAATTTACCCTATCTTCTTTGTATTAGAGTATCTCTAAGAGACTTTCTGTATCCTTTCTAAATGCTAATAGTTATCCAAATATAGTCATCTTCTATTCTGAATTTTTTGCAAGCCAAAAAAAAATAGAAAACGAGAATGGCTCTCTGGACTGCGCACGAGATATAGAAAAACTGTTGGAGAGTGAAAAGATATAGAAAGCGTTTTTTATACAAATGATTCTCTAAATGATGATTTAGAGAGTGAGATTTTAGAGAGGCTCTTGGAGATGCTTAGTCTCTATTGATAAAAAGGACATACCCAGTGCCGGAGGCTCCCACATGAGTGGGGTCTGGGGATGGGATAAACCGAGATAAGCCTTTCTCCCGTAAAATCTGCGGAGAGGCTACTTTGAACCCACGACCTGGTGACTCAGTGAGACAGCTCTCACCACTGCACCAGGTCTGCCCTTCTGCTTAGTCTCTATTGATACCTATATATATTATGACTAATGTTTATGTTATTTTCTTCCTCTACTTTGTTCATGTTATTATTGTTGTAATTTTTTCTACCCAAAATCCTAATTGATCTACATAATACACGTCCAATTAACTAGTTATGACCTTAATTGGTGATTGTATAATTATTTCTTCCTCGCTATAATCTCTAGTGGCATCTATATGTTTCAAGATTATCTTTCTTTATCTTCTCCCTCTCTTTTAGTTGGGTAGAGATTAGAGACTTTGGGTTATTCAAACTTTTTCTGTTCAATATAATTTTTAGTAGCATTTGGATTTTTAACTTTCTTTTGTATTGCAAAACAAATATTTATTTGGTTATTATCTATACTCTTTCTAACTCAATATACTTATATACATATATGTGTATGCATGCGCGAATATTTCATCATACGTGGTTATGGTTAGTATGCCAAAACGCCCCTCCCTCCTTATAGTCAAATCCTGGCTTTGCACCTGTTCTAAAAGGCTCTTGGACAAAGAGAATTAATTTCTATCCTTTTCCTAAAAGAAAACCTATCATGCGGGGCGGGGGTGGTGGGTGGTGGGGGGAGGGGAGGGGGGCATGAAGATACATGGGAGGGATTTCTGCAAACAAAATGTTGGAGGTTTATCACTTTTGATGTATTTGCCAAGAATGGATAGTAAATTAATAATAGACCTTTTTTTGGCAGACACAGTACAAACGTAGACGCCCATATACACGAGCGCACACTCACCCATATGAACACATACGCATACACCCTACCCCTATGAGCCTCTAAAGGACTAAGTTGGACCGACATATCTCGAGATTGTTGAAGCCACCATTGTCGGCGAGCACGTCGTCTACCACTAAATAAATAGCGCCATTAAATCCTAGAATAATTTCAGAAAATACAAGAACCCATGTAAAGTCGAGAACTTGAACCCAGTGAACAGGTTCCACCACGGAAAACACAACCAGCTGCTTTCTTGTCCTTTATTTTTGTCGGCGAATAAACTGACAACATAGTAAAACGTGGCTGAATTTTCATATTTTTCTAAAAAATCTTATAAGTACTGAAATTCTTTACTTTTTATAAAAAATAATAATCGGAGGGGTACCTACTCGCTGCTAGCTGGCTTCCAACTGTACGACTCACGTAGTCACGTATTCCGAAGTTGTAAGGGTGTTTAGGCTTTGGTCAGCGATCACCTCTGAATCATGGGACGGATTAACCTGAGCTTCCTCCCCCAGCGTCTCGTGCCTGATGTGCTGCGTGGCTTGCGAGTTGCTCGATGCGTATAGCAGAGTATACAATGATAAGAGCTCTCAGCTCGAGACATTTTGTTTACGTAAACCGTTGTCATATATAACCACTATGTTTTTTTTTCAGGCTTAACTGAGTCATTTTGACTAGATCCTTGATACATGCATATTGAGCTGAACAATGGCTAAGATAAATGGATGAAGGGTAGGTAGCGTCCACGGGGTACTGTAGTCCACCACTCGCGTGCCCCGTATGTCCGTATAGAGTAGTAGTACAGACTAGATCTTGCTTGCATCGTCTTCTTCCGCTCGAATTAAATGATTCTGTTCACAGCTATATATGTTCTTCACTGTTCTAGCTACACTCCACCATGCACCTTCGCGTGGCCAACTCCACCATACAACTGGTGAGGGCACATATGCATTTCTACCGTCCAATCTTGCCTCAACTTCCTTCCTCTACGCACATCCCTTTGATCTGATGCTCTGAGTTTCGCGTGGTTCTTGATTCCCCAGCTGATCAAATCGTCACGGAAAGCTCACGGGCGGGCTCGGTCGCGCCGGGCCGTCGAAGTGAAGGGAATGGAGAAAGCGGCGGCGAACGCGTTGCCGCCTCTGCGGTTCCTCGCCGTTCTGGCCGTGACAGCGTGGACCTTCTTCCTCTACTTCCATTTCTCCGTGATCAGCGGCACGGTGGAGGTGGGTCACGGGGATGACGACGGCGCCGACGCGTGCCGGGGGCGGTACATCTACATGCACGACCTGCCGTCGCGCTTCAACACCGACATCATCCGCAACTGCCGCAAGACCGAGGACCACTGGGGGGACATGTGCGGCGCCCTCAGCAACGCCGGCCTCGGCAGGCCGCTGGCCGACCGCACCGACGGCGTGCTCAAGAGCGAGGCCGGGTGGTACGCCACGCACCAGTTCGCGCTAGACGCCATCTTCCACAACCGGATGAAGCAGTACGAGTGCCTGACCAACCACTCCGCGGTGGCCGCCGCCGTGTTCGTCCCGTTCTACGCCGGCTTCGACTTCGTCCGCTACCACTGGGGCTACGACAACGCCGCCAGGGACGCGGCGTCGGTGGACCTGACGAAATGGCTCATGGCGCGGCCCGAGTGGCGACGCATGGGAGGCCGCGACCACTTCCTCGTCGCCGGCCGGACGGGGTGGGACTTCCGGAGGAGCAACAACGTGAATCCGGACTGGGGCACCGACCTCCTCGTCATGCCTGCCGGCCGGAACATGTCGGTGCTCGTGCTGGAGTCGGCGATGCTGCACGGCAACGACTACCCCGTCCCTTACCCGACCTACTTCCACCCCAGGTCGGACGCCGACGTGCTCCGGTGGCAGGACCGAGTTCGCGGCCAGCACCGGACATGGCTCATGGCGTTCGTCGGCGCGCCGCGGCCGGACGTGCCCATCAACATCCGCGTCCGCGACCACGTGATCGCGCAGTGCAAGGCGTCCAGCGCCTGCACCATGCTGGGCTGCGCGCGCGCCACCGGCAGCACCCAGTGCCACACCCCGGGTAACATCATGCGGTTGTTCCAGAAGACCACCTTCTGCCTGCAGCCGCCCGGCGACACGTGCACGCGGCGGTCGGCGTTCGACTCCATGGTGGCCGGGTGCATCCCGGTGTTCTTCCACCCGGGGTCGGCGTACAAGCAGTACCGGTGGCACCTCGCCGTGGACGACCATCTCAGGTACTCTGTGTACATCCCAGACGCCGACGTGCGGGAGCGCAACGTGAGCATCGAGGCCGTGCTCCGGGCGATCCCTCCGGCCGCGGTGGAGCGGATGCGGGAGGAGGTGATCAGGCTCATCCCGAGGGTTCTGTACGCCGACCCCAGGTCCAAGCTAGAGACTGTCAAGGACGCGGTTGACGTCGCCGTCGAGGGGGTCCTCGACACGGTGGCGCGGATCAGGAACGGTGAGTACGTCGACAGCGGCGGCCCGGTCACCGAGGACCCTCCGAACCTTTTCGCCTCTACGGAGTCCAGACTCCGGCCGGTGCGACCGGTGCAAGCCGATCAGTAGCTGTGTGCCTGTGTCGGCGTGGTCAGAAAACAAAGTGCAGAATAGTTTATTATCATATTAGTACGGGAAATTGTAATGATATTAGTTGCAATGGCGCATCTTTCGCCTGTAATTCAAACTTGTGATTCATACAGTATTCGTTACACGAGGTTTATAGGTGCATACGGTTTTGGAAGGGACTGTACAGTTTGGTCCGCTACAGATTCTCTGTTCTTCACCTTATTGTGCTCTGCTGAGTTGTTACCATTCAACAAATTGACAAGTTCAGATTCTCGTTGATCTATCAGGTCACTGCATTCTGATTCTCCAACCTTGTTTTTTTGAAGAAAAAAAAAACCTATGAACCTCAGTCACTCGAAATTCAAGAGAGACAGTCTTTGAACTCTGAAAAGCAACAATTGTGGTGTGTCTGCAAAGCAACACAAAATACACTGGCAAAAACTATACATTGCCTCAACCTCGTATATTGTCATCTAGGACTGCTAGAATCTCAAGAGAGACGGTCTTTGAACTCTGAGAATGAGAACTAGAGAGTTCAGACTTCAGACCGCAGAAAATGCACCTGATTTCGGCATTCCGCATGCGGCTAGCAGGCCTTCAGGGGCAAGCAACGCAAACGCTTCAGCTGCACGGCGCATGCGGCTGTCCGAGTGGTCCAGCACGCGCTCGCGAGATGCGAGGAAGGTTGGAAGGCGTCTGCGTCTCGCTTTCGCTTCGCGCGGCGATCCAACGTCCCCCCGCCCCGCGCACGCGCCCCCAGGACTGAGCGGGGTGATTAATGCCCGCCATTACTGCTCTTGGTCTACGATCCGCTAATGGAAATTTTTTAACCCCGTGTCAACTCCTCAAGCACCGCGACCCATGTGCAGTGCTCGAGAGTCGCGGTGCTGACTCTGGCCCGGGAGTCAGTCCAGTCTCCAGTCACTGGCTGCCTCACTGGCCGATGAGCCCAGTGCATGCTACGCCGACGCGCGCATCTCCCCGGTCAATTCCTCTGCTGCCGCACTTGCCATCCGTGTGTGCTCTGCTCCTTCAGATCACGACCCTGCGTTAGATCTGTCGGCAGAGAATAACCCCCCTTCTCCCCCTCGTTCTCGATCGGGTTTCCGATGCCTCGTCACTCGTGCTCGTCCAGCTTCCTGTTCCTCACGCCCGCCTGCATGAGAAATGAGATTCCCGCGTCTGCCGTCTCTGAAGCCTGAACATAAACCTCAAGCGTACACTGGGCTCCAAGCTCTGAGGCGGCGCAGCAGTGCCAGCATGGAGAGGACCGGCGCCCACAGCGGCAAGCGGTGGCTGCCCGGCCTCCTGATCCTCGACGCCACGTCATGGCTTCTCGTCATCTACTTCCATCTGGCCGTGCTCCGCGGCACACCGGTCGTCAGCGCGCCGCGCGGGTCCCTCGCCGAGGTCGCGTCAGAGGGCAGCGGCGACGGGCAAAGGCGCCGTTCGACTGGTTGAGAAACAGGCCAGATTTCACTGTTGCCGGATGAAATTTACTGTTCACGCTCTCACAAATTCCTCCAAGCGAACAGGGTCAAAGTCTCCTGCTCCAGCAGGAGGAGCGGCTCAGCAAGGTGAAGAAGGCCCCGCCCGTCGCCACAGGCAACGCGCTCTCGGCGGCACGGGACGATAATATAGAAAGGAGGGTGTACAATATATAGGCCTTTCAACCATTGACCCTTTCCTGAGAAACAAAGGTTTCAACCACCAAATTATTGATGTAGTTTCGATTAGAAAGCAAAAATTATTCTTATAATAAAACCTGGATCACCCGGTGGTCCAACTAATCAAACCCGAATTGAAATCTTGAGCGGTTTGTTGTCAATGTAGTTTAAATAAATTTATTTCTGCAATCTATGATGAAAACTTTGACACGTCGGCTACTAGCTCCTCGTGGACTTTAATAAGATAAAGTCTAATTACATATTTTGTGGGTCCTCAGATAACTCCTCGGTGACTAAAATCTGGAGAATTATATATTTTTTGTAGGTCCTCACACAAAGCTCCATATTTAACTATAGCAACAAATGGATAGTGTGAACATTAAAGTTCTCATATATTTATGTCTAAATATTCCTGTGCTCTGCAATGGTAGTAAAAAATTTATCGACATTGTTCTAACTCGGTACAAACTTAATAGAACATTGTCATATTATTGTCAATATTAACTTATCTTATATATGTCATGTCATCATAATGAATTATAGAAAAGAGTAAAACATAAATAGATATGTATTCCGTTGCCATTTCCTAGGTACGTTTGATGGGGGGGGGTTCTGTCCATTGCAACGCCTCGTGGATGTTTGCTACTTTCATTTAAAAGGCAAGGAAAAAGTTGAAAGGTCCTTGTGTAGTTTTAGTAATTGAGTGACAACTTAGGTGGACTAATCGTGTTTATGTGAGATGCACAGATGATTAGTCCACATATACATGTGTGTGAGTAACATATGCCATGGAGGTGAAAATGGCTCGGAGATGTTGCAAAGTTCACACATATGATGATGAAGGAGCTCATTGCACATGAGACATGACATTGAATCATGTGATCAAGTTAGAGAAGATCAAGACATGACTTCGCTTGATGGACCAGTTGCAAGAGTGAAGGGTAAGTCGGAGGCTTTGGAGCGATGGACCGCATGGCGGTAAAGCTTGAGCAAGACTTGGCACCGATGGACGAAGGCAACGGTGAAAAGCAAGTGAAGTCAAAATCGATGAACCAATACGATCACATGATGATATGAAGTGGATCATATCATTTGGTGATTGGTTGGTGCATGTGTTGCAATCAACAATGGAGGAGATAGAATGGAATGCACAAGGCAAAGGTATAACCTAGGGCATTTTATTTCACCGGTTATAGGTGTGTAGAGAAGTTTATGACCAGGTTTAGAATAGATGGCCATACTATCAAGAGGGGCAAACTTGTTTGCATATCGGTCATCTAGTGCCACTTGAGTTATCTAACTTTGCATCATCGCTAGGATCGAGTGGCGTGGCAAGTTGAGTGGCTAATCCTTTTCAAAATATTTGTGAAAAGCTAACACACGTGCACAAGATATTGTACGCTTGGTGGTGTTGGCACATTTGTAAAGGAGAAGGAGTTGGAGTTGAAATGGATCAACTCAGTGAAGAAAGGAGGTCACTGTGAGTGACCGGACGCTGGCCTTGGTAGGACCGGCGCGTCCAGTCAGTGGCAGCACTGAGCACATTGTCTCGGTCTCGTGACCGGATGCTGGTGCGAAGAGTGACCGGACGCTCAGATCCTACGTCCGGTCTGTGCTGACGCACGTTAATGTGATGGCGTGAAGGACAACAGTGACGCATGGCAGTCAGAGAATGACCGGACTTAGGTGTTGCGTCCGGTCATGCAGGAGCGGACGTGTCCGGTCATTAAACAGAGGCCCGGGAAGCTCTCTGGAAATGACCGGACTCTGGTTGGTCTGTGTCCGGTCGTACAGGAGCGGACGCGTCCAGTCACGTGTGATGTATGGTGACGTAGGCGGCGCTGGAGTTAGCCGCTCGGGCACAGAACTGATCGGACGCTGGTCTGCATCTGGTCATGGTGGACCGGACGCGTCCGATCATAAAATAGAGGCTCGGGGAGCTCTCTAGAAACGACCGGATTCAGGTGTAGTAGTGTCCGGTCATCCTCACTGTGCTACGTCCGGTCGCAACTTAACTATTGGCGCGCGAAGTTACCGTTGAGAACGGGTGACTCGTGTTGAACGCAGAGCGACACGTGGACGGCGTAGCGTGATCGGACGTTGGCAGGGTGCGTCCGGTCTAGACGACCGGCGCGTCCGGTTGTCCTGAGTTTTGCCCATTGAAGGAGTTTAGCCCGTGGGGTATAAATAGAAGGTGGTCTCGGCCATGACTGAGGTCGAGCATCTTGGGGGACTTTGTGTCCATGTTTGAGAGTGCTTGGGAGCCCTCTAACTCACTCTAACTTGATAGTGTTCATCCGATTGAGTGAGTGAGCGATTCTAGTGTGATTGCATCGTGAGGTTGCATCGAGTGGCACTAGGTGGTCGTCTTGCAAACCGGTGGTGCTTGTTACTCTTGGAGATTTCCACCTCCTAGACGGCTTGGTGGTGATCTCCGTCGAAGCCCGCAAGAAGCTTTGTGCAGTGCTTCAGAGAAGAGCTTTGTGAGGGGCACTGTGCTCACCCCGCGGGAGCCTTGAAGAGCAACTCTAGTTGAGCGTGTTATTAAGCTACCCTCACTTTTGGGATAGGTTCTTGCGGTGCCCGACGTGCGGGCTTGGCGAGTGATGCCAATTAGCCGCGAACCACCAAGTGAGCGGTCGACACAACAGGGACGTAGCGTGTTGGCAAGCACGTGAACCTCGGGAGAAAATCATCGTGTCAACATTGTTCTTCTCATTGGTTTACAATCTCTTTACACAAGCTTGTAATTACTTGCATATACATTGCGCTTGTGGAGTTGCTCTTGTAATTAGTTAGCTTGTGTAGCTCACTAGTTACCTTCTTGCTTGTGTAGCATAGAAGTAGCTCTCTTGCGTGACTAATTTGGTTTGTGTAACCTTGATAGTCACATTGCTTAGTTTGTGTAGCTAAGTATTTGCGATCTCTAATTTAGCATTGGTTGCCTTGTTATTGAGCATTGCTAGTGAACTTAAGAGCTTTATGTTTTTCCTTACTAGAATTGTGTAGGAGCTTCTCGGTGTATAAAATAGTAGTGGCATAGGTTTGTGTGATCTTGCTTCTAGAATTGGATAGGTGAACTCTAGCTAGCTCGACACATTTGTTGTCTAATTAGAAATCTTTATAAGGTGTTTGTGAACTTCGATAGAGGGGTGTAGTTTTGGCTATACCGATTGTTTTAATTTCATATTTGTTTCGGTTAGCCGGCGCGATTAAATTTAGAAATGACTATTCACCCCCCCTCTAGTCGCCATCTCGACCCTACAAAAGTCCACATTACATCCTTAATTTTTGCGAAAGTCTGTTTTTCCTCCCTGAACTCCAAAATCGGGT